AGAGAGAGACTGCCCCTAATACTTATCAATGTACTTGAAATAGGGAAGATTGAAATGTAAGGCAACAGTTCCACAGCACACTGAGGTGTCTTTGCTGTCCTCTGGTTTTCTCATAGTTACTTGCTAGCAATAATGCAGAACTTTCCACAGTTCCACAGGTACTCATGTCCCAGTACTGCGTCCAACTCTCAATAACTGCAGAGTGTTTGAAACAATGAGAACACAAGTGTGCAAGATGTCGAACAAATCCCACAAAGCCCTTCGGCACTGGCCGTGTGGAAGTTTTGTCAGAGAAGCCAAATAGCCCACACCAAACAACTGCTTTCAGTGGAGAAAAAGAGTAAGGAATGCACAGAACCTGACCATCTTAATGAAAAGGTTAACCCCTGATCATAGACCAGACCCTAACAGTATAGGCTCTTTAACTTTTAGTCTACAAATGAGTTCTTCCTAGGGACACTTAGCGATCTTTCGTGTTTGGCTCTGCTGTTTGAAAACACCGGCACAAAACCGTTTCTCAAGAGCTTCATGAAAATATTTAAGCAGGCTTTGCTATAACTTATAAGCACAAATTATATGCTTCTGTCTTAGAATAATTCTCTTGGGACACACACAATATGCTAGGCTCACCTTCCCAGTGTTACACCATTATACGCAGCTATGCAGGAAAATTTTTTTAAGGTGGCAAATGAATAATATCCGGACACCAAAAGATGGTACATTTTGCAACAGTCATAAGCCTATGTGGCAAAAAAATAAATGATAAATGGCCATAAAACTTTATTTTGTATTATGCCTATTTGACCCGTAAGACTAGGATATTATCAGTCTTTGTAGTTTCTAAACCATGTTTTTAGAAATACAAAGGGCATTAGTGTTATGCCTGTTCAACTTGTAAAAGGGCCACTTGGCAAGTCTAGTAGTTTCTAAACCATGCTTTCCAAAACGCAAAGGGCAAATATGACCCATAGCTTCAGAGAAGGGCAAGGACGGCCTTACTTATTGCTGAATATCTGGCTTATTCCATTTGACATAAGTTTTTATGGCAACCCTCATGAAAGTATAAGTTTTCTGCGATTCAAAGTAATATAAGCGCAACTTGTAAAAGTCAGGGTTTTTTTTATTTAATACATTCTAATCAAATAGTAACAGCAGTAAATAAACACTTTGAAAAACAGGCAGGTATCCCCTTATATCTGGAAGAAAATTAAGTCAAAGTTTTCTACATGGTAGAAGGGAGACAACTGCTGATGTCTATAGTTAGACAATTCAAGGACAACTTGGAAATTTCTAAAGCCATTTCCAAAAAAATCCATGGCAACAGGTTGGGACACAGATACTTCAAAGGGTAAAATGTCTATATCTACCGGGATGGGGTTGCACCTGTATAGCATGACATTCTTGTCTTTAGCCTTAATGGAAAAGACGAAGTCTTTTCCGTTTGCACCAGTTTGAAATATTTCTGAAGTAAGGCTCTCTTAAAATGGATTACTACAGTACGCGTTCACATGAAAGAGTTCATACATGTAGTAAAAAGACAAATACAGGATTTCATGGTCATTTTTTTTGGTTGACTTGGTTAATTGCATAAAATGAAGGATAAATACTCACAAGCATATCCGATCAACAAAACCCCTAGGACATCAGAATGCAAAATATAACATGTCCAAAATAGACTCGGATCACCAGGCATATAAAGTGGAAGCTAAGCCTGTCAGGTTCCTTCCCTTCTTCAGTTCTCCATGGAGTCCTTTCTCCCTTCCTCTACTACCGGTGCCTGGACCTTCAACCAAAGAGAAGGGACCTCAGAAAGGCAAGGCATTCGGACCAAAAGGTTACTTCGGCCTTTACTTGGGACATTTAATTTTTAACTTAAAAGGATCAGCTGGTCTTAGCCTTAGGCAGGGAAGCATTTCTCAGGTGAACATATTTGAGGGAACTTGACCTAGCTACCTAGTCACACATGTAGGTTAGACTGATTCAGCTGTTCTTAGAATTCCGTGTAGTTATCCAGAGCAGTCACTCAAGTTTTGGTTCTCTTTTACATAGCTGCATTCGGAGATACTCTATATGAGGCATGTTTAGAAAAAGAGAAACACTTATACCTGGAATTTATATTCTTCCAAGTAATCTTTTAGTCTTGTTGGCAAAGGCAGTCCCCAGATGGCACCGGTGCATTTGTTAATGGTGAGTCTGCAGAGATGCTGCAGAGGCGGTGCTGATGTGTAGAGCGGTTTGGTCAGATAAAGGTGAACAGTGCCGTTCCGGGGGGCTTCTGGGCCCGTCCGCTTATCCTTGCACATCTGAACATAGTAGTCGATCAGATGAACCACACTGTCAAATTGTTTAAGCTTGGACTTGACACATATGATAGAGTCCAATCTGAATTTCCCATCTTGATATTCGATTCGCAGATTAGTTGGTCCAGCTGATGTTTTAACAGATATTGTTAGTAGGTAGTCTGAATGCGAACTATCTCTAATCAAGAAAGTTCCTTCTGGTGCCTCTTTTAATTTCTCTTTGGCTTCATTAACAGTCATACTTCCCCAGTACCAACCTGGGGTTTTGTTCAAAAAGAAAAAGAAAAGAGGGTAAAATTGTTATTATGATGTCTCAAACGGGGCAAGTACTTGACAACATTTTTTTTTTCTAGCTATAAAAAGAAGTGTGTGAAAGTTTACCAGAGGCTACCATAAATACTTTTGGTAGAAATTTAATGAAAATGTGGGTCCATGTTATTTTATGAACACAAAGCGTGAGCCAGTTTGTTTTTTTAAGTAATCCTCTGGAGTTGTTCTTTAAGGTATCTAGATTTTCTCTGAATGAAACAAAAGAATATTTGCAACATGACACACTGGCTGACAAAGCATGATGCTTCCAGCACCACTCAAGTGAAATAAAAGACTTAAAGTAAATTAGAAATAAATCAGAAGTTAAAAATAAAAGCTCTGCCCTTAAAAAGTGGAAAACTGAACTCTAACGAATTCCAAGAGAGGAAAACAGAAGCACCGTTTTTGGATGGTTGGTGTCCCCCTGGTCTCCCCAAATCTGTCCATGACTGCTTCTCTGTTTCAAGCCCTAGAAAGCACTGCTATTTACTTGTTTTAAAAACGCAGTTCTAGGTACAACAGCTTCTGGTGGCTGCTTCAATTACAACTTCCTTATCAGTCATTGAGACATGAGGGAAACCCCAAATGATAATTAGCATTTCAAGTTTGTAATCTTTTGTACTTTGCCCTAATTCAAACCCAATTCCAACTGTCTGTGGGTTTCCCCAGCAATCCCCGTATGATCTGCCTGCACCATTCCGGGCCCGCTCGGTTTGCAAAAAATGACTTAGAGGCACTCTACATTTAAGAAGTTTTAACAATACAATCCCCTCAAAAAAATTGCTCGGATTCCCGAATCTGCCGGTCCGTCCAAGCTGATGGGAAAAGCACATGGCCCGCAGGAAAAGAGCACCACCGCCAGAGAGGAAAGAGTCCCCTCTTCCTAACGCTACCAAAACTTCAACTTTGCCCCAAACGTAAGCTTTTAGGATCCGGAGATGTTGTAAGCCTGAAAGGTTTGCCAGAATTATTTTTCCCCCCACTCCTTTCTCCTTTCGGATGCTACAGAGAGCCGCGCACGGCGCAGGACAGGTCTTGAAAGACCCCCGAAGTCGCGCTCGGCGACTCCCCGTCCTTGGACTTGGCCGCCAAGATTCCCGGCAGCGGCGGATGCTCCGCCCGGGAGCCGGATGCGGCAGAAGCTGCGGGCAGCGCTGCCCCCCCTCGCCGCCCTGCAGCCGCGAGAAGGAAGGCGCCAGGAGCTTTCTCCAGCTCGGGTTCGGTCCGAGTGCCGACCCCAGCCGTGGAGCAGCGCGGCAAACAGTTAAAGGTTCCAGCGCCCTCGGGGGCATTTTCCAAGGAGCCCTTCCCGCGCCCTCCTTCAGGCCCGAGTCTCTCCAGAACCGCTTTCCTTTCGCATTCCCAAGAACCCATCCTCTCCGCGGTCCCCTACTCTGAGGCGGGGACGGAAAGGAGGGGACGTTTCTCTATCTCATTCTTCGCTTTCCCAGCTCGTCCCCACCTCCCAGCTGCGCTCCCCATCAGCAGAGCCCCCAGCCGCGGCTTTGGGGGGCGCCCCCTCTCGCACGTCTTCGGCTAATCTCTTCCCACCTCCCTCTGAGATTTGTCAGTCTGTTCCAGGCATCCATGTCTTTGAACCTATTTTGTCTGTCAGTTTATTTTGTTCATTAGACCCCACTGGCTCCGCGCCCCTTCCGCGCCATTCCCGGAGGGCTCGGCGCACCGCAGGGTCATGGGCAAAGGGTCACCACGGCAAACACAGGTGGCCGCCCGCGCAGGGGTCAGAGAAGGGCACGCGTCCTTCCTGGAAGTCAGTGGGAACCCCAAAACACGTCCCTGCGGAGTATCCAAAATGGTGGTGGAGGGGGAGGGGGTGGGGAGCTGCTGGTTCTTCCTCCCCAGGTCCTGGTGGACAGATGGCAAAGTCCCCCGCAGGCGCGGTCACCCTCAGTTTGCCTGCAAAGAGAAAGAGTGGGGTTGGGTCAGTCGGACCTGGACCCCTGGCTGGGGTGTGGGTGGGGAGACAGCGACGTGGAAAATCCCGGGGACTCCTCCGCGTCTACGCTCCCGCACCATTTAACCCCAAGCATCCAGGCCCAGCTCGAGAGACAGAAGGACTGAGAGCCGGGATCCGAGACGCCAGAGTTGAAGAGAGGGAGGGGGGGGAGGAGGGGGAGACAGGATGAGGGTGGGGAACCGGGTGTCTTCCCGCCCAGGGCAGCTCGCGGAAATCGCAGGCAAGCCCAATGGAAGAGCAAAGAGTCACCTGCAGGCACAGTGGTAAAATGTGCCCGAGTCAAGGGCACGTGGAAAAACTGTTTAAAGGCAAAAACAGGAGAGCTCCCAAAATTGCACTCCTATCTCACACTCCGCACAGCCCCAGGAGCACCAGGAGAAAGTGCGGGCACCAACCCGGTTCCCCGCCCTACGGCGCCGCGGGGCTCCTGGGGTCGGAGCCACAGGCCT